GTCTAGCTGCCGCATTCTGGATTAGTTGTAGTTTCTGGGTCACCTTCAAAGGTAGCCCCACGTAGAGCACATTGCAGTAGTCCAAGCGGGAGATAACCAGAGCATGCACCACTCTGGCGAAGCAGTCCATGGGCAGGTAGGGTCTCAGCCTGCGTACCAGATGGAGCTGGTAAACAGCTGCCCTGGACACAGATTTGACCTGTGCCTCCATGGACAGCTGTGAGTCCAAAATGACTCTGAGGCTGCACACCTGGTCCTTCAGGGGCACAGTTACCCCATTCAGGACCAGGGAGTCTTCCACACCTGCCCGCCTCCTGTCCCCCCAAAACAGTACTTCTGTCTTGTCAGGATTCAACCTCAATCTGTTTAACATTCAATCCCTCTTCGCAGCACTCCTAACAACTGTGACACAGCATATGATCCAATGGTGGTTTTGAGGGGTTCCCCTGTGAAAATTTTGAGGCTCCATAAGGATCTGTGACCTGGATCTGTGTTTTTGTGCCATTGCAGCATCAACGATTTTGACAGTGCAGTCAACGGAGACAGATGTGATCTGTCATTTGATGGCGGAAAGGGGAATCAATGAATCCGGCCCCCTCCTTATACTCTATTCTCTCTTCCCATACAACTCCACACTCCCTGCTCCTCTCTCCCAACCAGTCCATTTCCCTTCCTCCAGCCTACCAGACCACTCCATTTTCCACAACCTCTTAGTCATTCCACTTTCTGTTCAGCCGATCTGAGCCTTGAAAAAACCTGTTGAGCTGAAAGAGAAAATGGGACACAGCATCATTCTTCCAGCTTCCTTCTTCAGTAGTTTCAAAGGTGGGGAAAGGTAACCACTTTTGCCAACTCATGATGAAGATCTTCAGGCTTTGCAGAGGAAGATCTCAAGAACAGTTCAGAAACTTCAGCAAGGAGGTTTGAGCATATTACACTAATCCTGGTCCGACTGAACTGGCTAGCCAGTGGCGTAGCGTGGGGGGTGCAGGGGGGGCCGGCCGCACCGAGCGCAACATCTGGGGGGGGCGCTCGCACTCGAGTGCTAAAATCCATGGGTTAGGGGGCGCAAATTACTTGCCTTGCCCCGGGTGCTGACAACCCACGCTACGCCACTGTGGCTAGCCATTAGTTTCCAGGCCCAATTCAAAGTGCTGGTTTTGACCTATAAAGCCTTAAACAGCTCAGGACCGCAATACCTCAAGGACCGCCTCTTTCCATATGAACCTACCCGGACCCTAAGATCATCTTCTGAGGCCCTTCTTCGTGCGCCTCACCCATGTGAGGTCCAGAGGGTGGCAACACGAGAACCTCCTTCTCTGCAGTGGCCCCCTATCTGTGGAATGCTCTCCCCAGGGAAGTTCATCTGGTGCCTTCATTATACACCTTTATGTGCCTGGCAAAAACATTCCTTTTAACAAGGCCTTTGGTTGATCCAATTTACATCCTATGCCCTTTTAAAATGTGGAGGTTTTTTGGAGGGAGGGCTATTGGGTTGTTGTTTTCATTTTTGTTAGGTATTTTGTGGTTTTATATCTTGATTTTATTCTGTGAACCGCCCTGAGACCCTCGGGTATAGGGCGGTATATTAATCCAATAAATAAATAAATTAAACATTGCTGCACTCCCATATGCCCCAGTGGTAAACCTAGAATTGACTGGCTCAGCATGGTGAGATCTGATGACAAATTCCCAAGACCAAGCCAGAGAGAGAGAAATGAAATAATATACAAAGTTTCTTGGGAGCCTTCCTCACTTGCTTGGGGATTGGGGCGTTGGGAGGGGGCAGGGAACACCCCCCACCTGACTCTCTGCTGCATGAACCCTATTGTACCTTCAGGGCACCTCCATATTTCACCCTCAGCCTTCTGACAACACACCATGGGAACTTGGCCTATTGACCAAATGTTCTCACTCTGGAGAGCTTCTCCACCTACTACTGAATGGAAATGTCTTCTCTTGGTACAGAGGTGAGAGCCTGTTTTTCTTGGCAAGGCCAGTGGATATGATTAGCTTTATCTCTGTTTGGATTGTTGTCTTTAACACAGAGGAGAGGGCATTACCTCACCCTGGAGCAGGCTGCAGACCCAAAAGCGATTACGCCGGAATATTTTTAGTGCTCAAAACAGGAAAGGCCTGTTGTGGCTAAAAACATTTTGCGATTCCACCCCCCCTCCCCGCCGCCCCTTTTCTTTCTCTCTGCATGATCCCATTTTTATCCTCTTGTTCTAAGGCATCATAATGCCACGATGACTAGTTGTTTGGGGCGAGGGGGTTGAAAGAGGAAATGCTTGTGTGCTGGTTTTTATGTGGGAATGATTTTCCTCGGCTTCCTCTTGACAATAAATCATGCACGGCTGTTAAGACGAGGAGGAATTCCTGTCATATCTCCTCTCAATCTAGAGCCTCCAGTTTCTCTCATGGCCTGTGTACTCAAGTCGCTGGTTTTATCTCTGAAGTGTGGATCAGACACAGAAAAAAAACCAGCAGACCTGGTGCATTCTTCCCTCTTGCAATGTCTCAGTAGCAAGTCCTCTTTTTCAAAAGTGTGCTTTCTTGTATATGGGCCCACTATAGGGTTGCCATATTTCAAAAAGTGAAAATCCAGACACAAAGGTTCTTGAGCTTTTTTTGTTTTCTGCCAAAGTTGTTGAGATTTTCTGGCAAAATCTCAAAAAAGGGAGTTTTTGAGCTATTTTTAAAGAACTTCGCCAAAATCTGGACTTCCAACATCGGTTGCCATACGTCCAGATTTCTTCTGACGTTTCAGCGACAGCTTCCAGCTGCTGTATTCTGGCTGTGTCCAGGTTATTCCAGACATATGGCAGCCCTAACATACAGTGGTACCTTGGGTTAAGAACTTAATTCGTTCTGGAGGTCCGTTCTTAACCTGAAACTATTCTTAACCCGAAGCACCACTTTAGCTAATGGGGCCTCCCACTGCCGCCATGCCGCTGCTGCACGATTTCTGTTCTCATCCTGAAGCAAAGTTCTTAACCCAAGGTACTAATTCTGGGTTAGCGGAGTCTGTAACCTGAAGCGTCTGTAACCCGAGGTACCACTGTACTATGCAACTTTTGCATATCTCATTCCTCCAGGTTGACTGCAGCGCATATAAGCACAATGTCCTCTTTTGCTTTGTGAGCGTCTAAATTCGTTTCAACATGTCAAACCCTTAGCCCCTTCCAGGCATTATTAACCCTCTGCTGCTTCTTGGCTCCAGCCCTGCAGTTCCTCTTTTGCCTGCTTCAACCTCCCATCTCCGCGCAGAGATCTAAATGGGAAGTCAGCTGCGCTCACATGGTCTTTCCCAGCCAATCAGGAAGCCTGTGTAAGCAAAGGGAGCCTACATCATGTGGAGCCTACATCCATGTTCACACCATACCTTTAAAACACTACGATACCACTTTAAACAATAACGTCTTCCCCCATGAATAAGGCAGCCTCTCAAATTTGCAAAAATACTAACTTCCTTTCAGAGGCTGTGGGACAATTAAAAGAGGCAAATGCACAAACCACCAAGGTGGAAATGTCAGAGGGGCGGGGGTCTGAGGAAAATACAAGGGAAATAAGAGTGGTTCGAAGCAAAAGTGGTACTTCTTATGAAATGATTTGGGAGGCTTTGACAGATTAAAATGGAACCTCATGTGAAATGATCTGAGAGGCTTTGAAAGTGACAGAGCAGAAACAAGAAGAGAGAATGAAAAGTATAAGAGGTGGCAATGTAAAATTATTTAAAAGGCCTGGGGGAAAACATATAAAGATTTGAAGAGAATGTGAGAAATGAGGGTTGTTAAAAAAAATTGAAGTAATTTTTTTGAGCTGTACCGGACTTGATGGACTTATTGAACGAATGATTTGGCCCCTGTATTTGAGAGTTGGATGCCAGGCCAAGACCTACTAGCCTATATAGAAGGAAGAAACCACCGCCAAAGAAGATAAAGAAGATTGGCAAAATAAAATACTGAACTATGCAGGACAAATTAAATAATTTGAAACCCAACAAGAAAGAGGACTTTGAGCTCAAAAAAGGGACAAATGTTTAATGCATATCTTTTAAGCTTTGTGTATAGATCTCAACA